GGATGGGATAGGATGGGATGGGATGGGATGGGATGGGATGGGATGGGATGGGATGGGATGGGATGGGATGGGATGGGATGGGACGGGATGGGACGGGATGGGACGGGACGGGCTGGGATGGGAATGCTGAATTTGGGGTGGGCTGGATGGGCTGATCCTGCTCCCCTGAGATCTCCTGCATCTTCTCCCTTTTCCAGGCGCCCTCTCCAGCAGCCAGGCCGGGGCCGGGCTCAGGGTCGGGCTCGGGGTCACAGCCGTGGTTGTAGCCGTGGTGCTTTTATCGGTGTCCTCCTTGTTCTTCCGGAGATCCAAAGGTGAGCGTGGAAAACCATCCCTGGAGCCCTGGGAAGCAGGAGGGGGAACCTGGGAGGGGGCACAGAGGCAGGACGGGGCAGATTTGGGGTGGATTTGGGGTGGATTTGGGGTGGATTTGGGGTGGATTTGGGGTGGATTTGGGGTGGATTTGGGGCAGATTTGCTGTGGATTTGGGGCAGATTTGCTGTGGATTTGGGGCAGATTTGGGGCAGATTTGGGGTGGATTTGGGGTGGATTTGGGGCAGATTTGGGGTGGATTTGGGGTGGATTTGGGGTGGATTTGGGGTGGATTTGAGGTGGATTTGGGGCGAATTTGGGGCAGATTTGGTATCAGTTTGCTGTGGATTTGAGGCAGATTTGGGGTTCTGATTCTGCCACATCTCCCCCAGGCTGGAAGAAATTCCATCTCTCCAAATCCAAGCCTGCGGACACAGGTGGGATTCTGGGGCAGTTCCCTGCCCCTTTTCCTGGTGGGAATATCCAGGGAATTGCATTTAGGATCGGGGGAATCATCCCCAGTGCCGTGGTTTGGGATCGGAGCTGAAGGACCCCGACCCCTCTGTCCTGGTGGGAGTGGGAGGGGCTGATCCCGGGAGATGAGCCCAGACTCCTGAAATCCCATTTTCCCCCTTTTTTTTTTTGCTGGAAAATTTCATCCCAGACCCAGGCTGGGAGCGCAGCCACGGGACCACGAGAAAAAGAGGGAATTCAGGGAAAAATAAAAGCTGGCAAGAGACATTTGGGGGGAAAAGCCAGGAATTCCACCTGGTGACGCAGGGTTAGTCCAGAAAAGAATTCCAGAATCCCTGGACTGGAAAAACCCTCCAGACACCGAGTCCAAGCTGTGCCCGATCCCCACCTGCTCCAGGAATTCCAATGGGAAATTTAGACCCCCAAATGGGATTTTAAAGGATTTAAATCCCCCTTCTCCCCCACTCTGTTCCATGAGCAATGGGGGGATGACATGAAGGAGAAATAAATGGATTTTGTTCTCCAAAAGCGGCCAGGAATTTGGGATTAAAAAAAAAAAAAAAGAGAGAAAAGCGGATTTTTCCCTGTCCTTGGTGCTGGAAGCTCATCCCAACCTCACAGCACCAGGGAGGGTGGACGAGAAGCAATTCCCACCTCCAGCAGCTCCGAGGGGTTTTGGCCTCGAGGTTTTACCCAAGCCTGGACTCCTGAGGTTGGGATTGCCTCCACCCCCCGGCCAGGAGCACCCAGGCAGAATTCCCTGCATCCCAAAGCCCCAAATTCCTGCTTTTCTCCCCAATTGCAGCGGCCACAGCCGAGTACACGACCGTGTACGCCGAGGTGGGCTCTCCCCAGCCGGTGAGTCCGGGGCTGGGGACACCCTGGGGACACCCTGGGGACACCCTGGGGACACCCCGGGGACAGCTGGACAATCCCTGGCTCCTTTTGAGAATTCCAAACGGGATGTGCCACAGCTGGAGGTGGCCCAAGGGCACCTGAACTTGCCCAAAAAAAAAAAAATTCGTGCCCAGCCCCAAAATCTTGGTTTCAGTGGGATCAGAGGGAAATGGGGATTTTGGGGTTGGAGGTGGCCCAAGGGCACCTGAACATGCCCAAAAATTCGTGCCCAGCCCCAAAACCTTGG